TCGCCACTCCCGGCATAAACCCCTCCAATCCAGTTTCCATGCTGCCCACATATCGAGACCTGTAGGGTATTGGTTGGAGCACTCGCCTTGCAAGCAAGAGGACCTGGGTTCCATTCCCGGACAGGGCGAAATGTTGGGCAATTTTCCTTACTTCACACACGTCAGTTTATCTAGCAATAAATAGGAATCCGGTTGTTAGTCAATTGATGGATTGCTTTTCTGGGGTTAATAATCCCTTCCAGAAAAAATTATCAAAAATAATTTGGTAACTCAATCCACAACTGTTTGTGGGACACTACTGTGCACAATTGGCTGCCGCGTTTCACCCACATAATATACAGTATACTTTCCAGTATATTCTGTGAAATGCTTTGAGATGTCTCGAAGACGCGATAAGGCATTATATTGAATACAAGGATTATTATTACATTATATTACAGTGACTGTCCTGGTCAAAATTGCCAGCAACATTCTCTCCCTCTGTGACTAGGCCTTCTCGTTCTTAATCCCTTTGCTGTCCTTCAACACTATCGAACATGCTATCCTTCTCCAATGAGTCCCCTCTCAGTTCCACCTCCATGTTGCTACCTTCACTCCTACCTATCCCAACATCTCTACTTTGTTTCCTTGAATGGTTTCTCCTCCCACTCTCCCACCATCATGTAGCAGTGTTTCTCAGAGCCTCTCCTTTTTAATATCTAAATGCTCCCACTCGGCAATGTAATCTGCAGACATGGGGATAATTTACACATGCGGATGACACCGAACCCTCTCTCCCCGTCTTCAACAACAACAATTTGCATTTATATAGTGCCCTTCACTCAGAGTAGCATCTTGCAGCTGAACAGTAGCAGAGGCGGATCCTGAGCCGGGGGGGGGGGGGGGGTTGGGTTTGGATGGTGACTGTAAGCACGGTCAAAGAGAAAGGACTTCGGGCGTGATCTGAAAACAGGGACGGAGAGGGCAAGACGGAGGGATTGAGGGAGAGAGTTCCAAAGTTTCGGGGTGTAATGGCTGAAAGCACGGGCTCCGATGGCAAAGCGGAGGGGACGAGGGATAAGCAAGAGGCCAGACAGCTGAGCGGAGGCTGCAGGTGACGGGAGAGTGGAGGAAATAAGTCAGAGAGATAAGGAGGTGCCAGGGCATGAAGTACATAGTGTGAGGATCTTAAAATGAATCCGTTCTGTGATAGGGAGGCCAGTGGAGCCTGGCGAGGACTGGTGTGATGGTGGTATGGAGGTTACAGCAGGTGAGTATACTGGTGGCACAGTTTTGAATTTGTTACCTTTTGTGGATAGTGGAGCTGGGGAGATCGGCGAGAAGGGCATTGGAATAGTCGAGACAGAAGGTAATAAAAGTGTGGATGAGGGTTTCAGCTGCATTGGGTGTGAGATACGGTCGGAAGTGGTTAATGTGATGGAGGCTGAGGAAAGCGATTCTAGTCAGAGACCGGATGCGGGTCCATTCAACTCTGCCCTCGATTCCAGGACCACTGCTGTCCTGACTCCTTGTTTGCCGGACCATCAAGTCCTGTTGAGCTCCAACTTCTTCCAGTTGAACGTCAGTAAATAGAGGCTCTTCTTCTTGGCTACCATCTGTACCTCCTCACCTCAGGTGTTGACAGTATCGAACTACATGAATGCACACTCCACCTCTCGCTGTTTTGATGAACTCTCAACTGTTCTTCAAACCTCATACTCTGACCCACTCAGCTTTCTCCCACATCCTTAACATTGCCTGCCATTGCCACTACCTCTCCTAGCAAGACTAACAAGGGCTAACAAGACCCTAATCAATGCATTCATCACATCCAGGCTAGATTACACAAACTCTCTGCTCACCGAACTACCTGCCTCTTCCCATCACAAACTGCAGAACACGGCAGCTAGTGTCCTTTCCCGCACTAGGCACCATGAACCCAACGCCCCCAACCTAGTCCGGCTCCACTGGTTCCGCATCCCACAGGGGTCAGATCCTCATCCTAATCTTTAAACCCATCCATCATCTTGTCCCACTCTACCTCTGAAAACTCCTCACACCCTACCAACCAGTCGCTCCCTCCGCTGGCCTGCTTCACGTCCCCCGCTCCACCCACTGCGGTCAGGATTTCAGGATTTGACCCAATTCTCCGGAACTCCATCCCAGAGTTCCACAGCTTTGACTCCCCGCTTCCCTCATCTCCTTCAAAGTCTGCCTTAAGACTTTCCTCTTTGACTGTTTTTTCGGCCATCTTCACTCCCTCAAGGCCCTCCATCCATTTGGCCCCCACCCCCAGCTCAGGTGCAAACAGACTATTCAGTGCTCTGTGCATTTGTGTTGTAAAGTTTCAACTGCATATTTCAAAATATAATAATCCTTGCACTTGATATAGTTTCCTATCGCATCTTCAAGTCGTCTCAAAGTGCTTCACAGAATATACTGTACAGTGAATTGACTGTATTTTTTGTGGGCGAAACACAGCAGTCAATTGCGCACAGCAGTGTCCCACAAACAATCATGGACTGAAGTAACCAATTCATTATTTTTTTGAAGGAATTATTACATCTACCTCCAAACATTTTCCAAGGCTCATTCTCAGATCTATATCATTGTTGCACTTATATAGTCTTCACAAATATAGCCTCTTCAGAAAGATAATGGGGATCACCAAGCAAGGAGGAGAAAAGGAGAAATTCAAAGATATTGACCAAAGGCACAATCTTAGTTACATTAGAGGAATTTAAAGGCTGGGAGATTTAGACACAAGCGATTTTGGGAGTGAGTTGAAGGCAGCAGAGCATATAGGCTAAAGGTTTGGCCATTGACTGCAGGACAAAGGGAATGAAAAGAGCAAGAAGACCAGTTAGAGGTGCACAAGATGGAGAAACTCATTCTTTGGGCTACATAATTCTTTCTTACCACCTATCAACATAAAATCTCCAGAATGGTCACAGGTGGGCTTGTCAACACGCTTGGTGCTTTACTGAGACAAAAAAAATTCACCAAATGAAGATATGGCATAGGAAACCTCCCGTCACATACTCAACAGTCATTGACAGAAAATATGCAAATTACACCACATTCACTTAAATAGCCTAAATGCACCATAAAACGCACACATTCTTTCATTCCTTTCCAAAATAAACCAATGATAAATAACTTTTGTTGCAATTAGAAATATGTTCATGTACAAACTCAGTGTATCAACCACTGCAAGAATGCACATTCATAACCATTCTTTCAGGAAAAATAAAAATATGGTTCCTTTTGTCAAAACATCTCAAAGCATTTCTCATGAGTTACTTGTAAGTATAGTTGCTAATGTTATGTGTAATTTAAAAAAAAAGGTAACAGTTGCACAGACACGATGAGCTAATTTGCTCCTTTCTATGTTGGAACATTTCTATGCAGAAACATGGCAGCTGAAACTATACTAGCAACATCCCACAAACAGCAATGAGATAAAGGACCAAATTTAATTAGGGTTTGTTTGTTGGCTTTTGGAACTGGAAGAAACATTGCTCAGGACACATGATGACTGATCATCCCTTCTTAAAAGCTGTCAAGAGAATCACGACGCTCCAATTTGGTTTATCCAAAGAATGGCAGCTCACAGTGCAGTGTCAGCCACAATAAAAAGCACACCAGGTGCGGGCCTTAACTTCAAATCTCATGGGCCAAGTTGAAGTTTAGTGATGATTGTGACAGTTTCAAAGAGGTGTCTGGGGCGATATTTCTCCCAATCCCCAAACTATTTTAAGGATAATGGATGGGGTGGAGATGGTGAAGAACATCTACACGGTGCAGTTAGAACGGACTCCGCAGGTGGTGGGTACAATTCACTTTAGAAATATTTGCATTAGACCGCGGAGCACCGGATCACAGTGAAATATTTCTAAAGCAACTAATAGATTAGCACTGAATTTTTATAATTAATATTCTGCGAAAATCAGTAATGTGTTAAAAAAATCAATAATGTTATAAGGGTGAGTGGGAGTGAGTGAGATTGAATGCGAGTGAGATTGTTCGAGGGAGGGAGGGAGTGAGTGGCTGTGAGTGACTTTGAGTAAGAGTGAGATTGAGTGAGAACAAGTAAAATAGAGGGAGTCGGTGAGTGGGGGGGTGTGAGGGAGGGGGGGAGGGGGTGAGGGAGGGAGGGGGGTGAGGGAGGGAGGGGGAGTGGGGAGGGGGGAGGGGGGGGGGAGGGGGGGAGGGGGTGAGGGAGGGAGGGGGGAGTGGGAGGGAGGGGGGGTGAGGGAGGGGGGTGAGGGAGGGAGGGGGAGTGGGAGGGAGGGGGGGTGAGGGAGGGGGGGGGAGTGGGGGAGGGAGGGGGAGTGGGGGAGTGGGGGAGGGAGGAGGAGTGGGGGAGGGAGGGAGGGGGGTGAGGGAGGGAGGGGAGTGGGGGAGGGGGGAGGGGGGGAGGGGGTGAGGGGGGAGGGGGTGAGGGAGGGAGGGGAGTGGGAGGGAGGGGGGGTGAGGGAGGGGGGGGTGAGGGAGGGAGGGGGAGTGGGAGGGAGGGGGGGTGAGGGAGGAGGGAGGGGGGGTGAGGGAGGGGGGGGGAGTGGGGGAGGGAGGGGGAGTGGGGGAGTGGGGGAGGGAGGAGGAGTGGGGGAGGGAGGGAGGGGGAGTGGGGGAGGGAGGGGGAGTGGGGAGGGAGGGAGGGGAGTGGGGGAGGAGGAGGAGTGGGGGAGGGAGGGAGGGGGAGTGGGGGAGGGGGTGAGGGGGGTTTAGTTCCTCCATTTCATGCCGATTGCAGGGGCCAATAAACAAGATGTCTCGGGGACCTTCCCGGTCTCGGCGCCTATCACACGCAGAGCGGCCGCACCCGGGCCCGGGCCTGGGCCCGCGCTCACTCCCGGCCTCGCAGCGGGGGCTCGGCAGCGCAGCAGGGCCGGGCGGCCTCGCTCGGCGGGCGGTGTGTGGCCAGCGGCGCGGGCGGAGAGGCCAGGATTGAAGCGCGCTCGCCCGCTCGGGTCCCCCCGCCGCTGCCCCACCGTCCGGCTCCCCGCTATGTGACTCACCCGCTACGGGCCCGGCACAGCCCGGGCGTGAAGCGGAGTCGACGGTGCGGCTCAGGCGCTGCGGCTCGGCCTGCACCCGAACTACTTGCAGCGCCCGGGAGCCGCCTCACCCCCCCAGACTCATTCCGCCCGCCACAGCGCGACCACGCAGAGATCCATCCGCCAGCGGCAAACAGGCCGCCCCGGGACCGCCCGCCCTGAGGTCACGTGGTTGGCAGCGGGACCGCTCCTGACCAATTTTATTCAAATCTGACTTTTTTTTACCCAAATTCAAGTAAATATTAAACATCCCATTGCACTATTCGAATATAGAAGGGCGTCTCTCCCCCCCCCCCCCCCCCCCCCCCCCGTGTCTTGGCTGACAATACCTCAGATAGAATTGGCCATTGTTGTGCATAAACAACAACAACAAATTACAGTTCACAGCGCCTTTCATGTCGAGAGGACTTCCCAACCGCTGGACAGTCAGGGATTTGGAGCCGAGCGGGGGGTTGGGATCAGGATGGGTGGAGGGTGGGGAGGGTTAGGGAGGTTACTGAGCGTGGTCGAAGAGGAAGGTCTTGAGACGAGCCTTGGAGGAAGCGAGCGGAAGGAACTGTGGGATGGAGTTCCAAAGGGTGGGGGCTGAGAGGCTGAAGGCCCAACTGCTGATGGCAGGACAGGCCGGGCGGGGAACGTGGAGCAGGCTGGAGACTGCTGAGTGGATGGAGCAGACATGTCGATATGGAGTTAGCAGGTCACAGAGCTAGGAAGCAGCAAGGCTGTGGAGGGCTTTGAAGGTTTTGAACTGGGTGGATGGGGAGCCAGTGGCGCCATGTGGGGGGGGAGGGGTGGGGATAAGATCATGGAACCAGGTACAGCCTGCAGATTTCTGAATGATCTGTAGCTTGTGGAGGGAATAGTTGGGAAGGCCGACAAGCAGGGGGTTGGCGTAGTGAAGCGTAGATGTAATGAATGCATGGATGATGGTGCCGGTGGCCTGAGGAGAGAGGCAGTACTGGAGCCGGGCAATGTTGCAGAGGTGAACAAATGCAGAATGGGTCGTGGCATGGATGTGTGCTGGCTGTGGCGTTTTGCCCAAAAGAAACACAGTATCTAAATTTTACAGTATAACACATGGAGAGTGGACCTCAGGAGATGGGAGAGGACAATATTGGAAACATTTCTTCTTGAGATCACAAAAGCCAGTGGAGCTCAGTGAGGTTGGGGGTTATGGATTCTTGGAGACTGGTGGAGGAATGGACATAGCTGTAGATGGTCTGGAACTTGAAGAGTGGAGTGGAGCTGCGGCATCTGGCATTTGAACAATTGAGCCTGGAGATGTTGAAGACATCTTTAAATCCTTCATGTTTCACACTACTCATGCAATCTTCTTCAGCCCTACCTACATTCCAGCCCCAAACCTCTGCTCTCTATGAATCTGGTCTCCACTCCACTCCCTTCTTGCTACCATCAGTGCCTTCAGCCCTTGTAATCTGCAATGCTTTTCCAAAATCATTTTGCCTTGCTACCTCTCCCTGTCCTCAAAAACTTCTTAAAACATATCCCCATGGCCATAACTTTTGTCAAAATATTTAAATAATAATAACCCTTGCATTTGATATTGTGCCTTATCACGTTGTTGAGACGTCTCAAAGAGCTTCACAGAATATATTGTTAGGTAGATTAACTGTATTTTGTGGGTGAAACACAGCAGTCAAATCTCTTATTTCTGCCACTGTTGCATCATAACATTGATCTGCAGAACAAGCAGACATCATCTCAAGCTCTTATTTTATTGCTGCTGTTGATGAGCTTCTGTATCCCACATAGCGAAGAGGCAAAGTGTACAATTCTTTGAATGTACAACTCTGTAAACTCTACAGAGAGGTAAGCAGATACTGCTCAAGCTCTGCATCTCCAATTGGTGGAAACATTACACAAGGAAAAGGGAGGAAGAGGTTAAGTGGGGTCTCTTTGGAGCTGAATTGGCTCCAAAGTTACATTTTGGCAATGGAATTTCAGAATCGAGCCAACCCTCTTTGGCGGTCTCGGTAGTCCAGTTCCTGAACCAGGTGGGTCTGCAGTACTTCAGGGCACTGCTGCTGACAGCACAGCCAGGCTGCCTCATTGGCAGGACTTTGAAGGGCAGACCAGTCACTGGGGAGGAAGAGATTATTCCCAACAACAACACAATTACATTTGTATAGCACCTTTCACATCAGGAGGACATCCCGAGCTAGGGGTCGGGATCCAGGAGGGTGAAGAGCAGGGGAGGAAGGAGGGTGACTGAAGAGGAGAGTCTTGAGATGGGTCTTGAAGGAAGAAAGGGAGGGGGCTAAGTGAAGGAACTGCAGGATGGAGTTCCAGAGGGGGCAGAGTGGTTAAATGGTGGGGAGGGTGAGGCAGGAGACGAAGGCTGGAGCTCGCTTAGCGGAGGGAGTGGACAGATTGATAGGGGATTAGGAGGTCTCCAAGGTAGGGGGNAGCAAGGCCATGGAGGGCTTTGAAAGTGAGGATGTTGAACTGTATCCTCTGTGTGATAGGAAGCCAGTGGAGTTGAGTGAGGAGTGGGGTGATAGAGTCACGGAGCCTGGTGCAGGAGAGAACAAGGGCTGCAGAGTTTTGGATGATCTGTAGCCTATGGAAGGAGAAGTTGGGGAGGCCGACAAGCAGGGAGTTTGCGTAGTCAAGCTTGGAATGTTATGAATGCGTGTATGAGGGTCTCGGCGTGTGAGACAGTGGCGGAGGCGGGTGATTTTGCAGAGGTGGGGCAAGATCATGGCATCGATGTGGGGTAGAAAGGACAGTTGAGGGTCAAACAAGACCCCAAGGTTCCGGACTGGCTTAGTTAGCTGGAGTGTACAACCATGTGGAGTCCTGTAGCTCAGTGGTTAGAGCACTCACTTTGCAAGTGAGAGACCTGAGTTCAATTCCAGGCAGAGGGCGAAACCTTGGGCAAGTTTCCTTACTCCACACAGAGCCTAATAATAATCCCTCCAAAACCAAACAATAATAAATTGGTCATTTTCAATCTACGACTGTTTGTGGGACATTGCTGTGCGCAATTGGCTGCCCCGTTCGCCCACAAATATGCAGTCAATTCACTTCACAGTATATTCTGTGAAGCGCTTTGGGACGTCCTCCCAACGTGAAAAGCGCTATATCAAATGCAAGGATTATTATTATTATTATGGATGGTGATGCTGTCAGCGCCTGAGGTGTGCAGACGCTGACGGGAGCCGGTCTTGTTGACGTTCAACTGTAGAAAGTTAGTTCTCATCCAGGACTTGATGTCTGACAGACATTCTGTCAGGACACCAGTGGTCCTGGATTCGAGGGTGGAGGCAGAGAGGTAGAATTGGGTATCATCCGCATACATGTGGAAGTTGACCGCATGATGTCACCAAGAGGGAGCATATAGATACTGAAGAGGAGGGGAATAACAATAACAATAAGATTATATTTGTATAGCGCCTTTCACGTCGGGAGGATGTCCCAAGGTGCTGGACAGTGTTCAGCATTTCAGACTCGAGCTGGGGAGAAGGGAGGGGAGGGGAAGGGGGTTGCCGATGGTATGGTCGAAGAGGAGGGTCTTGAGGCGGGACTTGAAGGAGGCTAAGGAGAGGGCGAGGCGGAGTGTTTGGTAGATGGGATTCCAGAGGTTGGGGGCAGAGTGGCTGAAGGCCAATGGGGCGTGGATGGGTCGTGACAGAGCGGGGGCTGGAGGAGAAACCATTAGAGGCAACAAAGTGGAGATGGTGAGAGAGATAGGAATCGAACCAGTCAAGGGTAGATCCTTGAAGATTGAGTAAAGCTGAGAGGCGGTGTATGAGGATGGAGTAGTCAACAGTGTCGAAGGCGACAGAGAGGTCGAGGAGGACAAGGAAGCAGAGGGAGCCCTGATCACAGATGTTCAGAATGTCATTAGTGACTTTGACCAGGGCTGTTTCCGTGCTGTGGGCAGTGCGGAAGCCGGATTGGAGGGGGTTCAAAGAGGGAATGGCGAGAGAGAAAGGAGCGGAGCTGGGACACGATGACTCATTCCAGGACCTTGGAGACGAATGGGAGGTTAGAGATGGGGCGGTAGCTGGAGGAGAGGGATGTTTTTTTCAGGATGGGGGTGATGCCGCCTGTTTTTAGGGGGTGGGAACTGAACCGGTGGACAAGGAGAGGTTGATGACGTCAGACAGGAGAGGGGCCAGAAAGTGGAGTTGGGAGATGAGAGTGGTGGGGATGGGATCGAGGGAGCAGTTGGTGGGTTTGAGTTTGCGGACGGTCATGGTGAGGAAGGAGGGAGACATAGAGTCAAAGGAATATAGGGGGGGATGAGTGGGGGGTGGGTCATGAGGGAGAGGTGATGTGGGGGTGGCTGTGGGTGGGGCTGCGGTGGCTGAACGTATCCCCTCGATTTTAGATTCAAGGAAGTCCAGCATCTCCTCACAGTTGGAGTTTGAGGAGAGGATGGTCGAGGCTTGGGAAGGTGGACAAAGGAGATGGTTTGTGGTGGAAAAGAGAAGCCTGGGGTTGTCCTTTGCCTCCAAGATAGCCTTGGAGTAGAAGGAGGATTTGCCAGAGGCTAGAGCGCAGCGATAGGTCTTGGTGTGGTGAAGCCAAATCTGCCAATGGACTGTGAATTTGGTCCAGGTTGAGGTGAGAGGAGAGGTGGTGGAGAAGGATAGAGTGGTGTTGAAGGCAGCAGAGAGGTCAAGGAGGATGAGGAGGCAGAGGGAGCCCCCTGTTGACAGATGGACAAAATGTTATTTGTCACTTTGTCCAAAGTTGTTTCTGTGCTGTGGACGGTACAGGAACACGATTAGAGGGGTTTGTGAAGGGAGTGGCGGGAGAGGAAGGAGCGAAGCAACGACTCGTTCCAGGAGCTTGGAAAGGAGAGGGAGGGTGGAGATGGGGGGGATAATTTGAGAGCAGGCATGAGTCCAGGGAGGGTTTTTTAAGGATAGGAGTGATGACTTTCAAACCTGCCCTTCCTCTCAAGAGTCCTAGAACGCCTTGTTGCCAATCAACTCCGTGCACACCTCTCCTCCCACTCCCTCTTTGAACTCCTCCAGTCCAGTTTCCACCCACAGTACAGAGACTGCGCTTGTGAAAGTCACAAATGACATCCTCTCTA